TGAACAAAAGGCTGTAATTTAGCCAAGGCCTCTGCTGACAGACTGGAAGTAAAGGCAATAAAATAACCGAGATTCAATTATTACTTCAGTGATCCTCGCAGATGTCAGACTCATGAGCACATAACACATATGCAAGAGTTATACACACAGGCATCAGGTCACCTCCCACACTACACCAAATCAGAAGGATCTGCACGTTGAGAAAAATCACACTACTCAGAACGAGCAGTTTCTTAGATTAAGTACCAGAGTCATAAAACAAACAAACAAACCGAAAAACTCCACATATATGGCTTCCAAAAGAAACAAAAAAGCCTAAATAACTACTTTGCAAGCCTATACCTAACTAGTAAACTGTCATGCTCTACATGTAGAGCAGGTCAACTACATAAATTACATTACTTGAATTTACTCCACATCAAAGCAATAGTTCAGTTTGTACTGACAGATGGAAGAAACTATCTGTAGAGTACAAGCAAAAGAGAATATGCTGAAATGCAAGCAAAAAATAAGGATGTTCTAGTAAGGAGACTAAAAAGAATAGGTAGAAATCCATTTTTATCCAAGTCTTGAGATGAAGAGGCATTCCATTCAAAGACGACTGCTTTCTTTAAAAAAGCATACAAGAACCAATCACCTGGGGAGCTACAGTATGTTTACTTTCTTTACATCACAGCAATGGCCCCACCCTAACTCCTCTTTAAAGAATCACAAATGTTGAGAGTCCCTATTATTGATGGAAGAAGGCCATAGCTTTCAGGAATGTTGTGGCAAAGCATTTCTGACTAGTAATAATAACAAATAAATAATAGATTGATAAGTATTTCCTGACTAGGACAGTTCTATTAGGTTAGAGCAAAAGTAATTACTTTTAATGGCAAAAATCGCAATTACATTTGCTCCAACCTAATAGGAAAAGGTTACAACTCACTAAATCTTAACCCTGGCCAAATTTCATGAGTGCGACAGTAAAAGAAGATGAAACAGAACAAGATCTAAGGGAAGATCACCAGGCTATGAAAAAGGAAGAATAAAAATATCTTCTCATGAATATCAAGTTTTAAGATAGAAGAACAGAAAATGGTTAGACAATCCAAAATATAAAATGCCCTCGATTTTCGGTCTCCAATTATGGCAAGTAAGCAAGGATAAAAAGGACCCTGGGACTGAGCGACCATATCTAAATTGGTCAAATTCAACTTCCAGTCAACTTCTGACCCGATGGATAACCTCACAGAAAATCATAACAGAAAAATATTCAGAGGGAAAAGAACAAAGGTAAAGTCAGAGGTATCTGTTTTTGTAGGAACTGCCAAAGAGGATCTCGAGAATACGATTCTTTTGTGGAGGTCACTGTCTTGGCTTAGATATCAGTTTTTAACACCTCTACCTAATTCCATTTGGAATTTCATTTGGTTTAATGTTCTCAACCCTGGCTGCAAGATTAAAATAACCCAGGTAACTTTTGAAAAATAGCAATGTCTAGGTCCTGCCTCCCAGAGGTGGTGTTTAATTACTCCTGGACTCAAGTATTGATAATATTTTTTTTTTTTCTTTGTAGTTTCAATGGCTAGAGAGAGAGTATTTTTTTTAAACTGGTAATTGTGTGATACCAATTCTGCAGATAGAGTTGAGAATCATACAGTTATTAGGAACCAGGCAATACTTTGTTAGCAGCACACCACTGACCTCTATGGGTGAGGTTCTGTTAGAAACCCATGATAAAAGTAGTACCAACTGTCTAGTGGCTTGGTTGCTAGCCTTCCTGAAAAGATCACTGAGCTAACCTAAATGCTGCTTCCCAAACCACCACACAATTCTAAACATGGCCATAGTTTAAATAGGAGTTTGGGTTGAATTCTACCACTCCTAGCCACACTAGTCTCCCTAGAAGGCAAAAGAAAGAGCTTTAACGAAATAATAAGTTTCTTGCCCTCTGAATTAATTTAAGGGAGAGGAGGAGCCCTCTTTCCAGAAGTCTGTTTACTACTGAAGAGAAAAAGCGCCAGGCGTGGTGGCTCACGCTTGTAATCCCAGCAACCTGGGAGGCTGAGGCAGGTGGATCACCTGAGTTCAGGAGTTCAAGACCAGCCTGGTCAACATGGTAAAACTCCATCTCTACTAAAAATGCAAAAACTTAGCTGGGCATGGTGGCGGGCACCTGTAATCCCAGCTACTTGGGAGGCTGAGGCAGGAGAATCGCTTGAACCTGGGAGGCGAGGTTGCGGTGAGCCAAGATCACACCACTGCACTCCAGCCTGGGCAACAAGAGCAAAACTCCATCTCCAAAAAAAAAAAAAAAAAAAAAAAAGCAAATAAAAAGAGAGAGAGAAAAAGGGGCATTTGATATCTGAGCATCTAGGTAGCTATAGTTCAAACACTATAAACTGAAGTGGTTCACAGTAGTCACCAGATATTCTATGTCCTTAATGTGCAAAATGTGGCCCATGGACCAGCAGCTTCAGCGTCACCTTGTTAGAAATGCAGACTCTAGGTCTCACTCTAGACCAACTAAATCATCTCTCTTAGGCTCAGTGTGCTGGCTCACACCTGTAATCCCAGCACTTTGGGAGGCCAGGGCAGGGGGATTGCTTGAGCCCAGGAGTTCAAGATGAGCCTACGCAACATAGTGAGAACCCATTTCCACAAACTAAACAAAACAAAACAAACCCTCTCTGGTACAAAATCTTTAGGAGATTCACAGGTATATAATTTATTTTGAGAAGTACTCTGTAAGGCAAGGATGCATTCAAAAAATGGCTTTGAGGATTAATCTTCTCTTTAGATAATTTGCATAAGAACAATAAAAGCATTTTAAAAGTCTACTGCTGCCTTAGAAACTCATCTTCCACACAGCCAAATTTAGGTCTTCCTTGTGATGTTCTCGAAAAAGGAACCTTGATTCTCTGAGTAAATATATATTTAACCACATACGGATCCAAAGCAAAAATAAGGGCTTTAATTTCTTCTCATCTTGATTTCTGGGATATCTTTCAATCTCAGAATAAGCTGAAGAAAACTGCACTGTAAACAATTTCTGGGCTGTAACACCAAGGATACCATTTTAAATCCCAAAGTCAGGAAAAGCTAAAATTTAGAGTTACATAAAAACATAACTGGGCCTATGTAACAAAAGTTGCATATTTAGAAATCCGATTAGAAAAACAACAACTTTCCTATCCCTGAAAGAATATCCCTTATATAAAAAAAAAGAAATAGGCCTGTGTGTAACTTTGGCTACTACAAGCAGGTTCTAACAGCTTTTCCCTTTGATACAATACTTGCAGGAACTCTAATGCAGATGACTGGGCAGCTATGTAAAATATGATGACAAAACCCATTGGTTTTGGAGTTGGCATGAGCTAATACAAAGTCAAATGAAAATAACATGTTTCTTTTTTTCTATGCTTATAGTGGGTCAAGTAGGATTCTGGTCTGGCAACATTAAAGGCAGGGCCTCTTTCTCCCCTCTATTCCTTGAACTTAGTTTGTTTCTCATTCTTAGGTTCAATGAGTCCACCATGTAGTAAGCTTCCCCACCAGGGCATGTAATAAACTTGAGGAGGATGCAAAATTTAACTTGTGGTTGATATGTGAACAGAAAGGAAGAGCTATTTTAATTTTATAAGGGATTCTTAGGAGCTTCTATGAATATTTAAATATTTGTCACTCTCCTGAGTCTATAAGGAGGCTAGACAGCAATGTAAGTAGAATCATCATATGAGGAAGCTATTCTGTTTATATAATCAGTCAGTTTCAATCATTAAAGATATGAATATAAAAAGTATTTGCTTATATGCCCAAGAAAGACAATAGAAGTGCTCATTGTGTCAATACACGCTGGAGTTCACAGCTTGGTCAATGTATAAATTCTAGAAGCAGTGATTTTCCATTAATGAAATGCACAACCCACAGAGATATGACTATAACCCTATTTCCTTGGACTCTCTGCCAGCCAAAAAGTAAATGAACCTCTACTGGCTGGTATAAACCCCAGATACAAAATTGCTCATAAAGTAGAAGAGAAGATGCCAGTATATGCAGCATAGAGTGCAGTTGTTTTGTATCTGTCATCTCTGGGAACATATATTTTCATATCTAAGATGTCAGCCCTCCAATGATATTGGAAAACAAATCGTTGTTGGGCATCTTTATAGTCATTGGGTTGACAAAAATCTCTTTTGCAAGGGTCTGCTAGAAAAGCCTCTCTAATTCCATCACAGTTTAAGGCAGTCATGTGATAGACTTGTTATTTTTCTGGCCTTCTCTTCATAGATTGAAGGTCACCCTTAAAATTCATTTATCTTGTACAGAAACAAAAAATAACTTTGGTTCCCACTGGTGGCAAATGTTCACAGATATTCTGGATTTTGGAGCCTTTTAGTATTAGAATCCTGGAAGCTAATTAAATTGGAAGTATGACAGAATGGAGTAGGTGGGGAAGAAGGGAAAAAAAGAACCAATCAAGCAGCCCTTTCCAACTGTAATAAAGGTACATTTTACTTAAAAAAAAAAAAAAAAAAAAAAAGGCTGCCTCAAAACCTTTCAGAATTAGGGCATAAGTAAATAAAATATAAAAAAGGCAAAGGTTTGAAAGCGTCAAAATAGGATGATTTGTGTGAGGTCACTTTAATGTCGTTCAGGTCAAAAGGAGAATTGATGTGGGCTATCCAGAGTTAAGAGCTAGGAACAATAATAAACTCTGGAAAAGATACTAAACGTTAAAATTGCTGAACAATAGGATGGTTAAATGTCAAAAGTTCTATTTAGAGGCAGGACAATGAAATAATCCCGTACACCTGCAGACATACCCCATTACTGATGATGAACAGTATTAATTATAATTTTGCCTTACTAAAGACAAAGAATCCTGTCCTTTATCAAAGGACATTACTGCTCATCAAGGAAAGGTCTAGTTCTAAAAAGCTGAATAATTTAAAACTCTCTAGCATATCAAGAACTAAAAATAACCAAAAGAACAAGGGAAGAAAGATGCTTACCAGACTATCTAGTCCTCCTCCTAGGAGATCCACCGCTCCCATCTGCATGGAGGACACCTGTGGCACATTGACTGGGGGACCGAGGTCAAGGTTTAAAAGATCCCCTAGAAGATCACCTTGAGAGGGGATAACCTGAGGCTGTTCCAGATTCGTTGCAGTGGTAGTGCCAACAGGGCTGTCACCTGCATCAGTGCTAAAATCACATACACATAAAATGGACAAAAGAGAAAAGTCAGTCTCACCTAGGACATAATATGGCAACAGTAGTTAAACATATAGCTATATATAACTATCAAATACAAGGGGGAAAAAAACCCTCTGATTTTATAACCATTTGCTTATGCTCATGAAGAGATAATAGCAATTCTTATTTTTATCAAATACAGTTGCTAAAATGAAAATAAATTATATGATGTAAACCTTGTCAGTTATATAATATAATTGGTCAATTTTAATTAAACATCTATGAGGGAACACTGTAAAGAGAATTCTATGGTTCTCTGTATAAACTGTAAAATATATGGTTCCTGCCCTCAATGGCTTACACACCAACAAAAAAAATCAGCATTTACAAAATGACTAAAAAGCAAGTTTACTGCGTAACAGCAGAAACATGTATTGTGTGTCTGTATAATTGATAGGATACGAGTAACACAACAAAAAAAGCTTCTCGGAATGGTTTTATGAGGAACTACCAGAGAGAAACCTCCAAAGAGGAAGAGAAGGTTTGTACAAAGGCACAGAAATGAACAATTTGACTTCAGGGGTGGTAAAAAAATTATATTGGCAGGAGCAGAGTTTGGGATTGGTAAAATTTGGGGGAAGAGAGAACAAGGAAAATAAAACTTTGAAAACTAGTCTAGAGAGCTGATTTTTTATAAAAGAAATGCAGAATCACTTTTATTTCTTGAACAAAGAACAGAAACTAAAAATAACATTAGAGGAACATTATTCTAGCACCTGTGTGTATAATGAACTGAAGTGAGGAGAATGGACATGAAGATCAGCTAAGAGTAATCTAAACTGCTACGTTGTCAACTATGTATGAAATAATAAAAGCTCAACAAGCTATAAAAATAAAAAGAAAGTGGTGAGTTCCAAGACATTTTAAAAGGACTAGGTAAGAGAAATGATGACCTTTTCAATAAATGGTGTGGGTTAACTGCACAGCTATGTGGGGGAAAAATGAACCTCGGCTCCCTATAACTCACAAGGTAAACAAAAATTGAGATAAATCAGACATAAATGTGAAAGGTAAAACCTAGTTGAAAACCTAGAGTAGCATCTTATAAGCCTGGAGGAGATAATGGTTTCAACAAAAAGCAGTAGCCACAAAAGAAAAAAAGTAATAAACTGGACTTCATCAAAATTAAGAACATGTCTTCCAATTACACCATTAAGAAACTGGGAAAAGATATTCTCTACAAACTGAGAGAAGATATTCACAATACATATACCTAACAAACGACTTGCATCCAAATTATATAAGGAATTCCTACAAATCATTAAGAAAAAGACAAATCATTAAAAACAGGCAAGTCGCAAAAGAGGATACAGTAACATGAAAATGTGCTTAGCAACTTTACTCATCAGGAAAATGCAAATTAAAACTATAACAAGACACCACTATACACTCACCAGAATGGCTAAAACTAAAAAGATCAATAATACCAAGCAGTGCTGACAATGTAGATCACCTGGAACTCATACAGTGCTAGGAGTATACACTGGTACAACTACTTTGGAAAATTGGCAGTGTGTGTCTCCTACAGCTAAACAGAAACCTATTCTACGATCCAGCAATTCTACTCCTAGGTATATGCCCAAGATAAATACGCATATAAATCTACCAAAAGACAAATACAAGAATATTGATAGCAGCCACAAACTAGAAATAACCCAAAGATGCAACAGAAGACATAAATAGTATATTCATGGAATGGAATACTACACACCAATAAAAAGGAGCAAACTACTAAAAACACAGATTAACCTCACATTATGTAGAGCAAAAGACACAAGACATAGAAGAGTAAAAACTGTAGGTTCCATTTATATCACACTCAGGCAGAGACAAAATGAATCTATAGCGATAGAAATCAGAACAGTGGTAATCTCTGGAGTGTGCACACTGACAGTAAAGGAACACGAGGAACCTTCTAGGGTGCTGAAAATATTCTTTATCTGATCAGGGTAGTGATTATATGAGTGTATACATATGTAAACATTCATTGAACACTAAATGCTAAGATTAGTGAACTAATCTATTACTAACAGATTGGACTAATCTGTTACTTAATAGAAGCAATAATGTTAATATAAGTAACATGAAGATATTCTCCACTGCATAAGCTTACATCAGACCAGAATAATCCACTGACAGCCTAACATTAATAAACAATATAATAAGCACCCTATTATTTATACTGTTAATCCGACACAGGCATGCTCTAAGGAAAGATCACAAAAAGTACCCAGCTTGTTTACCAAAAACATCACCTCTAGCATTACCAGTATTAGAGGCACTGCCTGCCCAGTGACATATGTTCAATGGCCGTGGTATCCTGACCAGGCAAAGGTCAGGCAATAACCTTAATGCTAAGGTTATTATAAATTAGATGTCAATTTAAAAAGTAAAAGTCCTACCAAGAAAATTCCAGGCTCAGACGGCTTCACTGTGAATTCCTCCAAACATTTAAGGAAAAAGTAAGACCAATCTTACATAAACTCTAAACGAGACTAGAGAATGGCCACTGAGAAAATCTGAAAGTAGGTTAGCCTGCTTATTGGATGATATTAAGTAATTATGTCCAATTTTGTTAGGCTTGATAACATTGTAATTTCAAGTCTTTATCTGTTAAAGATAGCAAGTACAGTACTTATGGGTGAAAAGATAACGAGGTCTGGGATTGGATTTAAAATATTTGAGCCATCTCAAAAACAACTGTGGGGCAATAAATGAAATAACATTGGCAAGATACTGATAACTGCTGAAACTGAGTGATAGGTATATCCAAGTTTGTTATACCACTCTATCTTGCATATTTTAAGATTTAGATGATAAAAAGTAAAAACAAACAAACAAACAAAAAAACAGCCAGACGTGGTGGCTCACACCTATAATCCTAGCACTTTGGGAGGCCAAGGTGGGCAAATCACCTAAGGTCAGGAGTTCGAGACCAGCCTGACCAACATGGTGAAACTCAATCTCTACTAAAAATACAAAAAAATTAAAAATTAGCTGGGAGTGGTGGCAGGCACCTGTGGTCCCAGCTACTCAGGAGGCTGAGGCACGAGAATCACTTGAACCCAGGAGGGGAAGCTTGCAGTGAGCCAAGGTCATGCCACTACACTCTAGCCTGGGAGACAGAGTGAGACTATATCTCAAAAAAAAAAAAAAAAAAAAAAGTAAAAAAACACTGTAACAATTTAATTAATAAACAAATGTTTTCTTCTAAAAAAGCCTAGGTAAGCTTTGACACAAACAAAAACTGAGAAGTAAAAGATTAGTTACACCTCTAATAATCACAGGGGAATCTAGAAGGATGACAGGAAAACTTTTATGCGCAGTTCCCAATTCTGATAAAATAAGTAAGAAAAACAAGTAGAGAAGCTTGACAGAAACAAGGGACTGGGCTGGGCACGGTGGCTCACACCCAGAGTCTCAGGGTAGAGCACTGGGCTGGGTAATTGAGAACCTGTTCATATTCCAGCCGGGCGCGGCGGTTCACGTCTGCAATCCTGGCACTTTGGGAGGCCAAGGCAGGTGGATTACTGAGGTCAAGAGTTCGAGACCAGCCTGGACAACATGGTGAAACTCCATCTCTACTAAAAGCACAAAAAAATTAGCTGGATGTGGTGGCACACGTCTGTAGTCACAGCTACTCAGGAGGCTGTAGCAGGAGAATCTCTTGAACCCAGGAGGCAGAGGTTGCAGTGAGCCAAGATTGAGCCATTGCACTCCAGCCTGGGCTATAGAGTGACAGTCCATCTCAAAAACAAAACAAAACAGACAAACGAACAAACAAAAACAACAAAACCAAAGGACTGGCAGTCAGAGAAGTAAGCTTGGTTAGAAATTCACATACACATCTCAGGTGAAAACATGAGGGTTGGGGGCAGTGTAGGGTGGTGGTAAAAGCAGGGGATTAAGTGTTGGCTCCAGTAATTACTAGCTGCATAATTTCTGGCAAGCAACAACCTCTGTGAGACAAAATTTCCTCATCAATAAAATGGTAACAATATCACGGAAGCATAAGGTTTTATTAGAGCAAGAATCAACTGAAAACATGGTCTAACTGGTAAAGCTCTGTAATATATTAGTGGTTAGTGGGTATTTTCCCTAAGGGAATATGTAGAGAAACACAGAAAGAAAAGGTTCAGATCGAACCTTTTGATACAACCAAGATCAGTAACCAGAGAAGAGAATAAACACGGAACTGCAAAGATTAATGACAGAGATACAATCTAGGAAAGCTGATTTACAAGGAAAAAGTGTCCAGGAAGTCATGATGAAAAGGCTTTAAGAAATAAAAAGGGGAAATGATTTCATACACCTGGCAAGAAATACATAAAATCTTTCATATTCTCTACACATGAAATTCTGTCATCTTCTGACATATACCATCTAGAAAATGTGACAGAACACATGGTTCTATCAGTATGTCTAAAAATAAGGTAGAATAGGTATTCCGCACATATTTTTCTTCACTCTAATGGAATGAATAATAGGAGAAGTGAGTTCAATGAAAAGATATAAATGATCCTACAGATTCTACAAGAATATGATACATCATTATTATACATCCTTTCTCAATGGAAAATATAAGAAAATTAATATAATGACATTTCCAATTTTAAGAGAAATAACTGCATAACTGTCATCAAAGCAGTATTTTTTAAAGGTGAGATTTTTCCGAATTAGACAACTATTTACTACCTCACCACCATGAAGCAGCTGACAAGTATAAGCATAGTAAGCAATATCCAAGTAAAAATCACTTCTCTCTTTCCCAGGTGATTTTAAAAGACCTAGTGAAGTGAGCATTTTTTAAACCTCTAGAAGATGCAGAATAAGGCTTTAAAGTGTTGCTTTGTTTCCTATGAGAGGTGTATCACTTATTAATCTTACACTGCAGAACAGAACTAGGTAATGTCAATACTATTACAGACATGTCATTTGCAGCAACGTATCATCCCCATTTATATCAAAACAGATTTTCCTTATATTTGCATTTCCCTTAAAAACACAAAACATGCACAAATGGACAAAAAGGAGGTTACCCAAAAAGGAACCACAAAAGAAATTGTGAAGATAAGAACTTAAAGGCTATTAATCAGATAAAGGCCTTATGTAAGACACTTTCTTTTTAGATAACTTAATGTTGGTTCTCTCCCTGCGTTTAAGAAAGGGTTGTTTTTGCTTATTGATTCATTTTCCCACTTCCATGTGAGGGTTAAAAGTTATCAGGAGGCTAGATACAAACACAGTTACAGAGGGAAGTTACAACAGAAATTCCGTATCTACAACGAAACTTGAAGCACAGACTGGGAGAAATTCTTAGAAGTTAAATAGTCTCATCTATAGAATGTTAAACATGCTTGCCGACAAGGAGAAACACCCTAACTTACTATAAGGACTAATCCTTATGAAGCTCATATCTCCTCTGGATTAAAATTATAGCACCTGCTGTAAAACCAAAGATTCAACTCAATCATGAAAGATTAATAATCTCCTTGGATGTTGCTGTTTCTTTTTCATTTGTCTGTATCCACAGTCTATTTACATAGAGCCCAAAATGCTGATCACACCAATTTGTAAAGCAATAAATACTACACTTTGGCCATTCACAAAAACCACTTAAACAATAATATACATTAGACAATGGAACAAGACACTCATTAATAAAAGCCCAATTATTCTAACTACTCTGGAAGGAAATCCTACTTTCATCAAGGTCTATTATGATTGACGAAGGAATCAGATTCTGAAAAGATTCTGAGATACCCATTATAAGAGTTTATTAGAGTGTTTCTTCTCCCTAATTAGAACTTTAGGACAGCTACAAAGTAAGAGCTCCATGTTACCCAAGAGCCTGTTCATATCAATTTCCTTGTTGAAATGGCCAATTTAAAAAGGTACAGGTAACTGAAAAACTAAGTCCACACAGAAGTCAGGCTTTTTTTTTTTAATAAAACAATACTGAAATATTATTTCATTAACAGTTTTACAGCATAAGTTGTACCTACTAACTTTCCATAAGGCTCAACAAAAGCTACAGTAAAGGGTCAAGATGGCTAAATGTATACACAGGCTTTTTTCCAAGTTTTCAACTATGGGATTATTTCTATTCTCTTCTTACCGCAGACTTAAGCAACTTTCAGACTTCATCAATTTAGAAGGTCTTCACCACAATTTTCTAAAGCCATAATGTACTCTTAGATTGGAACACAGAGGAGTCTTTCACCCATTTTATATGTGGTCACTGGTATTCAGTTGGAGCTCCCTGGGGTTGTACAGCAGCAGGTTTGCAAAAATGTACAGCAAGTTCTTTTCCAGACTATAAAAGCATAAAGAAGACCAACTCTGTCTAAACAGAGTCATTTCTCACTCAAAGACAGTTCACACCTTCTTACCTTCCATGATGAATTGGCAAGTGTTTACGATGAATTCCATGACTTCCTTCCACAAAAGCATTAGGAGGCTTATGATACACAGAGGCCAAAGAACCAATGTGGCAGATTAGCTCATCCAGCAGAGTTGGCTCAATAAGGTCCGTCTCCTCAGAGATCAGTGGCTTCTCAGACAAGACTACTTCTTTAGCCGTGACAGGGTCAGTTGAGAGAAGGCGCCAATAAATATAGCCCCGGTCTCGAAGGTCAGGATTATCAGAATCCTAAAGAAAAGGCAAAGGCAAGGAGGTAGAGATGAAACTGTTCTCCATACAGAAACCCAAACTGCTGGATTTATCAACCAATGCTGTAGTGATTTATGCAGACGGGGTATTAAGAAGATATTTCAGGCTGGATGTGGTAGCTCGTAGCTCATGCCTGTAATCCTAACACTTTGGGAGGCTGAAACAGGCGGATCACTTGGACCCAAGAGTTTGAGATCAGCCTGGGCAATGTGGCAAAACCTTGCTTCTACAAAAAATATAAAAAATTAGCAGGACGGGCTGGGCGCGGTGGCTCACGTCTGTAATCCCAGCACTTTGGGAGGCCAAGGTGGGTGGATCGCTTGAGGTCAGGAGTTTGAGACCAGCCTGGCCAACATAGCGAAACCCCATCTCTACTAAAAATACAAAAATTAGCCGGGCTTGGTGGCGCGTGCCTGTAATCCCAGCTACTCAGCAGGCTGAGGCAGGAGAATAGCTTGAACTCAGGAGGCAGGGGTTGCAGTGAGCTGAGATTGTGCCACTGCACTCCAGTCTGGGCAACAGAGTAAAACTCTGTCTCAAAAAATAATAATAATAAAAATAAAAAAATTAGCAGGGCAGGGTGTAGAGCCGCATGCACATGTAGTCCCATCTACTCAGGAAGCTGAGGGAGGAGGATCACTTGAGACCAGGAGGTTGAGGCTGCAGTGAGCCATGACTGCACCGCTGCACTCCAGACTGGGCAATAGAGTGAGACTGTCTCAAAAAGCAAGCAAATGTGTTAACTCAATATGGTTCTAATGTAGTCATAATTCTGTAATCTCTAATGTTTCAAGGGATGTAACTATAAATTAAGATGGGTTAATCCTAAGACTCAAATTCAAACAGAAATAAGGAATAGAAAACTAATGCTTAATCTGGTAAAAGTTAACTGGTTGAGACGGCCTTAGAACATAAAAATTTTTTAAACTAGGGCTGGGAGCGGTGGCTTATGCCTGTAATCCCGGCACTTTGGGAGGCCGAGGCGGGAAGATCACCTGAGGTCGGGAGATTGAGACCATCCTGGCTAACACAGTGAAACCCTGTCTCTACTAAAAATACAAAAAATTAGCCAGGTGAGATGGCACATGCCTATAATCCCAGCTACTCAGGAGGCTGAGGCAGGAGAATCACTTGAACCCGGGAGGCGGAGTGCAGTGAGCTGAGATTGTTCCACTGCACTCCAGCCTGGGCAATAAGAGCAAAACTCTGTGGAAAAAAAAAAAGAAAAAAAAAAAAAGAATGTTTTAACTGCTTTAAATATTAGCAGGCTTATTAATAACATATATTATATCTTACATATATTGTGCCCATACCTTCTTCCTTCATGCAAATATTTATTAAGTACCTCCTATTGAGACACTGGCTAGGCCCTGGAAATAAAGAGGTAACAATACACTGCCTGACTTTAAGGAGCTCACATAATATTAACTATTTCAATAGAGTATGAAAGGTACTATTATCTAAATAATCAAAAACTGTTAAAGAGAAGACATAACTGCTTCCAAAAGGAGTGACACTTGAATTTGGTGGTCTTGTTTTGTGCTATGGTGGTTTTTAAATAATTGTATACATGTTCACGGTTAAAAAGAAATTATTACCAAACATACCGCATCACAATTTATAAGTGTATGACATAAAAAAAAAACCTCCCCCAATTATCCAACCCTTCTCCATCTCAACTCCCAATCCCCCAAATAGCCATGATTAGTAATGTGGTGTATATCTGTCCAGATGGGACACACACACACTTATTTCATATAAAACCAGTTTCATATTATATATACTGTTTTGAAGTTGTTCTCCATGTTGATGTATACAATTGCACTTTTCCACTGTAACGTCCACTGCACCATTAAATATTAGTCCCCTACTGAGGGACATTTAGACTGTTGCCCGTTTTTCCCTTTCTACCTTTATTATTATTTGTATGTATGTATGTATGTATGTATGTATGTATGTATGTATGTATATATGTATTTTGAGACAGAGTCTTGCTCTGTCACCCAGGCTGGGGTACAGTGGTGTGATCTCGGCTCACTGCAACCTCTGCCTCTTGGGTTCAAGTGATTCTCTTGCCTCTGTCTCCTAAGTAGCTGGGATTATTGGTACGCAACACCACACCCAGTTAATTTTTGTATTTTAGTAGAGAAAGGGTTTCTCTATGTTGGCCAGGCTGGTCTCGAACTCCTGACTTCAAGTCATCCGCCCACCTCAGGCTCCCAAAGTGCTAGGATTACAGGCATGAGCCACCGTGCCTGGCCTATTGTTTTATTTCTTTATTTTTTGTGTGATCATTATAAAGTGGCAATAAATATCCTGGTACCTACCTCAAAAGTATGTCTATATGATGGCATTTATTTATGCAGGAGTTGTTCCAATAGCAACTTATTAAAGGCAACAGTAAGTCCCTGTTTCAACTTCTGTATTTCAAACTCATAACCAGACCAGGTACAGTGGCTCATGCCTGTAGTCCCAGCTACTAGGGAGGCTGAGGCAGGAGAATCATTTGAACCCAGGAGGTGGAGGTTGCAGTGAGCCTAGATCACGCCACTGCACTCCAGCCTGGGCGACAGAGTAAGACTCCGTCTCAAAAACAAAACAAAACAAAACAAAAACAAAACAAAAAAAAAAAAACCAACAAAAAAACCCCGAAAACCCAAAAAACTCATAACCAAACAAAAAATATTTTCTTTAAAATAGGACAATTTGAGGGCTTCCATTTTAGTTTCTAAGTGAGTAGATGAATTGGTTCATGACTCAGCCACTTAAGGCCCTTATCATCCAGTTCGACTGCAGCAGTTACCCTGATTATTTTTGACTATATAGATTCAAATAGTTTTTCTCAGTCACAGATTGTTTAAATTGCACTCATAATGGATTGTTGGTTAAAGACAAAAAGCATATAGAACACTGCAATACAGCAAATTAATAAATTATTAAAACAGTAAATTTTATCTCAAGATAATTTTTACCACATTTATAAGTTGCATTATTCTAATAGAAATGTATGTATATGTATATGTATATGTATGAATGTCTTATCAAAATGTCTCTAGTATTTGAAATGCCCGGGTTAAAAAAAGGAAACAGTGATAATTAGAAATTTAGTTGATTTTGTTTTTTTTTTCGGGGGGGAGGTTGAGGGACTAAATTGCACCTAAGTGTTTATAAATAGCAGCCTGAAACCTCCTTATTTAGATTTTCATTTGAAAACAAAGCTCAAACATTATAAAACAAAAACAAGTTGATTTTTTAAAAAGAGCAGAATACAAGTTTCTCAAAATATCAGGTCAGGGAAGCAACCCCTCTCTCCCACATTTTTTTATACATAAATTAAATGTTAAACTTTAAGCTATATATGCAGTCCTTAAAGTCCATGTACTTTAGAATTTGTAAAGTATGGTTTTTATTACACAATTAAACACTGCATTTATCTTATTAACTTAGAATATTCAGTTTGTCTTTATGTACCAGTAATATCTTAAAGGTATTCAACTTTATAATACATGGTTTAATAATATACTCATCAAAATAAAATGCTTTTTCTTCAAATTATTTCTCCCATATGTAATGCAAACAATTTAACCAAATGACCCAAAAGAAAAATTCCCGGCCGGGCGCGGTGGCTCAAGCCTGTAATCCCAGCACTTTGGGAGGCCGAGACGGGTGGATCATGAGGTCAGGAGATCGAGACCATCCTGGCTAACACGGTGAAACCCCGTCTCTACTAAAAAAAAAAAATACAAAAAACTAGTTGGGCGAGGTGGCAGGCGCCTGTAGTCCCAGCTACTCAGCAGGCTGAGGCAGGAGAATGGCATAAACCCGGGAGGCGGAGCTTGCAGTGAGCTGAGATCTGGCCACTGCACTCCAGCCTGGGCAACAGAGCGAGACTCCGTCTCAAAAAAAAAAAAAAAAAAAAAAAAAAAAAAGAAAAATTCCCATAGGGATTCACAAAATTCAAAAATCTAGCCAGGCATGGTGGCTCAGTAATCCTAGCACTTTGGGAGGCCGAGGTGGGCTGATCACTTGAGGCCAGGGGTTTGAGACCAGCCTGGCCAACATGGCAAAATCCCATCTCTACCAAAGGTACAAAAATTAGCCAGGCATGGTGGCAGATGCCTGTAATCTCAGCTACCTGGGAGGCTAAGGAGGGAGAATCACTTGAACCCAGGAGGTGGAGGAGGCCGCCACAGGGAGCTGAGATTGCACAACTGCACTGCAGCCTGGGTAATGGAGTGAGACTCCATCTCAAAAAAAAAAAAGTGTATATATATACATATATATATACACATATGAAAAAAGTTTGAGAGTTCCTCCACAAATTATTCGAAATGCTGCTATATGGCAAACTGCTGGAGATAGAGTTACTGGATCAAAGTCTAAATAGACACTAACTTGAAAAATACAATCCTATGAGAAATGAGTGCAAATTTCCCAAGACTGAAAAGTCAGGAGTAGGGAAGAATCTCCTACTGCTCAAACTCTGTTTGTTCTGAGGGATGACCTGTTAGTCCTACTGTAAGCCAGCCCTCACCAACTACCTCATATTTTACATGGAGGCCACAGTAATTCAGACCGTCAAGACCGAGATAAATAAAAATACGGGACCTTTTTGTGATCTTAAGTTGCCATTAAATGTTTGGTGACTCAGATAATTTGGCTTTGGATCTACTGTACTGCTAAGACCCACAGGCCCTCCTCAGGGGAAGAGCTCCCAAAATAATACTTACCAGGCCAGCACTAGAACAGTAATTCTTAAACTATAATGTGCATCAACATTTTAACATGCCAGGAATGCCACTGAAAGTGCAGAACCCAGAGGCCATACTTCAGAGATTCTGATTCATTCTATCAGAAGTAGGGCCTAGTGATTAGTATTTTTAACAGGCAGCCCAAGTGATTCTGATGACGGTGGCCCCTAGTCCATAGACAGAAAAACATGAAGACCTCTCTTCCATGTATCACAAAGAATAATTACTAACGTCTAGGTATTTTTTGTTTTATTTTGCTTTGTTTTGTTTTGAGACAGAGTGTAGGTCGTGTTGCCCAGGCTGGAGTGTAATGGGGCAATCTCGGCTCACTGCAACCTCTGCATCCTGGGTTCAAGTGATTCTCCTGCCTCAGCCTCCCCAGTAGTTGGGATTACAGGCGCATGCCACCACGCCCGGCTAATTTTGTATTTTTAGTAGAGATGGGGTTTCTCCATGTTGGTCAGGCTGCTCTCGAACTCCTGACCTCAGATGATCTGCCCACCTCGGCCTCCCAAAGTGCTGGGATTACAGGCATGAGCCACCGCGCCCGGCCTCTGTTTGTATTCTTTACTGACTTGAACCGACTACTGTATTGACTTTCTGTGTAACAGGTAAAATGATAAATTTTTGAAATGAAGCCTCAGATTCAAGAGTTGGGTTTTCCCCCCAATAATATTTTTAATTATACTCCCATTTTACTTAAAATTAAAAGCACTAAGATTTCACGTATATATACTTCACTTAATTCACAGCACAAGTAAAAACAGTATTAATTAACTCTACTATAGAGACAGAAGAAAAGCAGTATGAAAGAAATTTGCTCAGTCATGTCCTGAATCAGTGGAAGTAGCATCACCAGAACCTCACTACCCAATTAAGTTAACACAATTCAGCAGACCACATTGCATCCTAAACTTAAATTGGTACTCACCAGCCATAAATATTTAGGTTCTTATTTCACAAACTTGAGGAAAAAAGAGAACCAGGTGAAAAGACTTACATGGGCATACTTATTCTTTTTTTCCTTTTTTTTTCCCGAGACAGTGTCTCACTGTATTACCCAGCCTGGAGTGCAGTGGCACGACCTCAGCTCACTGCAACCTTTGCCTCCTGGGCTCAAGCGATCCTCCCACCTCAACCTCCCAAGTAGCTGGGATTACAGGCGTGTGCCACTATGCTCAGTTAATTTTTGTATTTTTTGTAGAGATGGGATTTTGCCATGTTGCACAGGCTGGTTGAACTCTTGAGTTCAAGTGATCCGCCTGCTTCGGCCTCCCAAAATGCTGGAATTATAGGCGTGAGCCACAGCACCCAGCAGCATACTTACTCTTTTATGGTAACTTCTCAGACTTAATTAATTAGACAGAAAAATTAATTGGATAGAAAAAGCAAGCCTTCAGGTGGGCTCTGTGGCTCACACCTGTAATCCCAGCACTGTGGGAGGCCAAGGCAGGAGGATCACTTCAGGTCAGGAGTTCGAGACCAGCCTGGTCAACATGGTGAAACCCCATCTCTACTGAAAAAAAAAAAAATTAGCTGGGCGTGGTGGCATACACCTGTAATCCCAGCTACTCAGGAAGTTGAGGTAGGAGAATTGTTTGAACCCAGGAGGCGGAGGCTGCAGTGAGCCGAGATCATGCCACTGCACTCCAGCCTGGGTGACAGAGCTAGACTCAATACTGAAAAAAGGCAAGCCTTGAGAAATTGCTTATTATTTATAGTATGAAATAATCATCCACAAAGACCTCAAAACTAGCAAACACACATATACATATGGGCTTATGCTTAATATTGCTTCAGGCAGGGAATATGTATTCTCCAAGTCATTCTTAACCTTCAGACTAGAGGAAGCATAGCACAGTGGACAAGACCATGGACCTTAGAGCCAGACATATCTGAGTCTGAGTTCTACCTCTGCCCCACAATAATTAGGCCTCTCTGAGTTTCCTCATCTATAAAAACAGAAATAGTTTACTAACCCTTGCTAGGATTAAGTGAGTTTCTAGCCTGTCCTGTTCTAGGAAGCTTATGAAAATTGCATCTAAGGCTAAACAGCATTAATTGAAACTAGAGTCAGGAAACTGCATGCCACAATGGCCTACACAGTTTCCATGGGAGATGGTTAAATGTGATTCTAAGGTTTCAAACAACCAATATGGAAAAGAAAGCTGATCAGGCATGCTACACTGATACACAGAAAATTCCAGAACTTGTCAGCAATTTGATGGGGCTTCACAAAGAAGAAAACATAATAAAGTAATGACTTTGATAACAAGCTAACAACAGATCCAAATTGGGTAGTTTTCCATGACGACTGTTATTAGTACAGACTGATAGTATTCACGTAATTTAGTAAAAGCAATTTTATTAGGGGCCAAAAACAATGCAGTACAGGTATCCAGATGTCTATTAATAAGGCTTGATTCAGAGGTGAATTTCAGACTATCTGTAAGAACAGCACTACGTTGTATCCTTTAAGTAATCCTTCCTAAATACTTTATCTCAGTCAAATTTTGATAAATACTTAAGAGGTAATGAGACTGAGTGTGAAATCTGGCCAGAATGCGTAATACAGCTCTCCTATGGTGCCTGTTACATACAAACACATAGGCCTTAACAGACAATGATGATAGGGTTGAGAACTTGTGAAAACAGAGGAAACTACCAAACATACTTGCTTGGATATTTACAGTAAGCAGAGAGGAAGAAAGGCCAAAATTCTCTTTAGAAATTGTTTTGATCAAATGTGAGCTGCTCTAATTCTGTCATTCTATGTGACCACTTACAGCAAGCTTGTCCAACCTGGGGCCACATGTGACCCAAATCAAATTCATAAACTTTCTTAAAACTTTATGAGATTCCTTCTCTCTTTCTTTCTTTCTTTCCTTCTTTCATTCCTTCCTTCTTTCTCTTTCTCTTTTTTCTTTTATTCTTCCTTTCTTCCATCCTTCTTCTCTTTTCCTTTCTTTCTCTCTCTTTCTTTCTCTCTCTTCCTTCCTTCCTTCCTTTCCTTCCTTCCTTCTTTCTTCTCTCTTTTTTCTTTTATCTTTGTTTCTCTCTCAATTTTCTCCCTCCGTCCTTCCCTCCTTTCTTCCTTCTTTCTCTTTTGCCTGTTTTACATTTCAATGTGTAAGCAAATGGTGATTAAAGGACAATAGGCTTAAAATATTCTTAAAAAAAAAAAAAAAACTTTATGAGATTCTTTTGCAATTTTTTTTTTGGGGGGGGCTCATCAGCTATTGTGAGTGTGTTTTATGTGTGGCCCAAAACAATTCTCAATTCTTCTTCCAACGTGGCCCAGGGAAGCCAAAACATTGCACACCCCTGACTTAGGAGTTTAAAATTAAAACATGAAAGAGTGCAAAAAAAAAAAAAAAAGTGGGGGGGGGGGGGGAGGAATAAAGAAATTGTTTTGAATTCATCTTAGAGATTCAAATGGGTTAATCAAGGATCCAGACACAGGAAATCAGAACACTCAATTCAATACTAATATTAACCACTGATGCTTATAAATTGCTTTGCTTCAGGCAGAGGAAGATGCTTAAGAAAGTTTTTAAAATACTTCAAAATAGCTTGCACAAATAAATTATTTTAAAGTTGTACAAGCTCATACAAATAAATTTTTTAAAGTTGTAAAATTAGTAACAGGAAATTTATGGCTCAGAACTAGGCAAAGTACTGTGAAAGGGTTTTAAATTTTGATTACGCACCAGTATAAAGGGATGAGAAAGAGAGAAAAATGGTAAACTGGATATCTGAATCATATTCCATTTGCAGACACACATCTTAACCCTGACAGCCTGCTAAAATGCCAGCCTGTTAGCAAATCCAATTAAGAACATTACTAAATCATGAATGGACTGATGATCATTATACCAGTTATACTAGAAAACCTAATTATTTTGATTTCTGTGGATCTAATATAATGACCTGATCTTTAAGGCCAGCTGCCACTTTCCTGAGATCAGAATCCATCTAAACTTCTTTTCTTCTGACCAAAAAAATCAAGTAATTCCAAGGAGATCCAAATATATCAAATAATTCAAGGAAGCAGCATAAGCACTTAATTTCCAAGAGAAAGGCAAACACTCTGGAAGGTAGAACAATGAATGAAACTTTGCTCAGGCATCTTTTATCTGCACATGGTACTTTCATTTGAAAGCTGAAATGAAGTCACAGTGAAGCAGGTACTATCAGACCATGTCATTTTCATCTAAGTATGTCCTTCACTAAACTAAGAGTCTAGGTTCAATTTTCATGAAATATGAAAAGTAGAGTCAGTCAACTCATTTAAAAGCCATACAATTAGCTACAATTCAGCTGAACAAGTTAAAAGGCATTGTTTTAATATTTTAACAAGATCTAAAGGTCATACTTCCTTCAAACAAAACTTCCCCAAATGAATCCCCTAGGAAGAGTTTCATAATTTCCTACAATTTGAAACAAGACAAATCAACATCTCTCTTTTTCCAGATTTCTTACCTGTGTTGCCAAACTCAAGACCTGCTGGACTAGCTCCTGTGTTTCTGATGGTTTCTTGAGAAACAGCTTCACTATGGCAGTAAGCAGAGTGAGTTGCACCTAAACAGACATAATTTGTGATACAGTGAAAGAACAGCACTGGCATTATTCCCTGCCATCATCTCCAAAGTGGTGTTTCCCCAACTATGAATTACCATGGAGCCTTTCTGATTTTGGTTAAGAGACAAAAGGCTGAAACTCAATATCAACAAGAGCAGTCAAAAGTATTCGTGGGAAATACAAAGGTATTCAACTGAAAACTCTATCCTTTTATCCTCAAAATGCATTTTTGGCACAAAATATTGCTTGTTTCTAAGCCAGATAGTTACCTGTGTTTATTATTATTACTATTATTATTTTGAGACAAGGTCTCCCTCTACTGCCCAGGCTGCACATTCATAGCTCATTGTAGCCTCAAACTCTTGGACTCAAGCAATCCTCCTGCCTCAGCTTCCCAAGTAGCTAGGACTAAAGGTGCAAGCCACTACATCTAATTTTGTTTTTGTTTTTGTATTGTTTGTAGAGAGGTAGTCTTGCCATGTTGCCAGGGCTGGTCTCATACTCCTGGCTGGAAGCAATTCTCCTGCATCAGTCTTCCAAAGCGCTGGGATTACAGGCGTGAGTAACTGAGCCTGGCTTACATTTCTTAAAGTATATGTTAACATACTGATGGTGATAATATTGGCTCTTGAGCAAGTCCTTCATTATTTACTTCTACCAAAAGCTACAATTTGGGGGGAATTATGGAATCATCTGTCATACTGGGGCAACAGCCAGGACAGTAGAATTATGTCAGGTTACAGCCTATTAAGAGTTGGCTGCTAAACCACAAAGCTATTGACTTGTACATACTCCTTGAATTAGGTCTATTAAAATTGCTATGGTAGATTACATGTATAATTTTCTATTTGCTTTGAGTACAAATGCCAAGAAAAAAGGGCTTAATAATTTATTGGCTTCCTGGTCCCGTGGCTCTAATTTTGGTAGGGGAAAGTGAGAAGCAGTCTCAGAATTTTCATTCAAAGATAATCTTTTCAAACCTCACCACAGCCTCAAATGAAAAATCCCTGCTGTAATGAGCCACAGCCATTACTAACAGAAAAGTGTAGTCATTTTTAGGTGACAGAAAATAAAAAAGTAGTGGTAACTACTGCTCTAAGCCAGTGGTTGTCAAAGTGCGGTTCTGGATTAACAGCAGCATCAGCATCACCCTGAACCTTGTAAAACATACAAATACTTAGGCACATCTCAGACTTACTGAGTCAGATACTGTCAGGGTGAAGCTCAGCAACATGTGCTTTAAAAAGCCCTCCAGGTGTTAATAATGCTTACTGAAGTTTGAGAACTACTGGTCTGAGTTATGTAGGTTTTTAACATTAGAAATCAGTAAAACTGGCACGGTGGCTCACACCTGTGATCCCAGCACTTTGGGAGGCCGAGGTGGGTGGATCACCTAAAGTCAGGAGTTCAAGACCAGCCTGGCCAACATGGTGAAACCTTGTCTCTACTAAAAATACAAAAAATTAGTCGGGAGTGATGGTGGATGCCTGTAATCCCAGCTATTCGGGAGGCTGAGGCAGGAGAATCGTTTGAACCTAGGAGGCAGAGGTTGCAGTGAGCCAAGATCCTGCCACTGCACTACAGCCTTGGCAACAGAGTGAAACTGTCTCAAAAAAAAAAAAAAAAAAAAAAAAAAAAAATTCAGTAAAACTGGCCAGGCGCGGTGGCTCATGCCCATAATCCCAGCACTTTGGGAGGCCGAGATGGGTGGATCACCTAAGGTCAGGAGTTCAAGACCAGCCTGACCAACATGGCGAAACCCTGTCTCCACTAAAAATATAAAAATTAGCCGGGTGTGGTGGTGCACACCTGTAATCTCAGCTACTGGGGAGGCTGAAGCAGGAGAATTGCTTGAACCTAGGAGGCAGAGATTGCAGTGAGCCAAGATTCTGCCACTGCATTCCAGCCTGGACAACAGAGCGAGACTCTGTCTCAAAAACAAAAACAAAAAATCAGTAAAACTGAAAAGGGACATCCCTGTTGGCAGAAAAATGAACATACTATATATAAATATAGACATAGAAGAAACTGCCTATAACCTTTGCTTTCTCTGAAATCTCCCCAAAGACATCTAAAACCACTAGGAAAGACAAGAGACAAGAACTTACCTGGGTGCTTTCATCGTGAAAACCCTCCAGGAAGCTTTCTAGTAACTCATCTGCATTATCAATTCTTTCAGCATATTCTCCCACAATCCAAATCATAGCTGCTCGAGCATCTGGCTCATCCAGCGAGTCTAAGTTCTCACATAGAGTGGCAATGATACTTTCATACCTGATGTGAAAAAAATGAACTATGGTTATTGAGGGCCAAACTAAGAACTATATTTAAAAGTGAAGGCTAAAGGCAAAACCACAAACAAGGAACCCTAAACCAAACCACCAAACTGTAAAAGCTTTTAGTCAAGAGAACGTACAGGTTTTAAGTCAGAAAATGTTAATGCCTTAAATTTCCCTTCAATTATTTTTTAAGATCTAGACCTTAAAACCTTTATAAAAATTCATCAGATGTTCTTTTGTTTTGTTTTTTGAGACAGGGTCTCACTCTGTCACCCAGGCTAGAGTGCAGTGGCATAATCACAGCTCACTGTAACCTCAAACTCCTGGGCTCAAGCGATCCTCCCTCCTGAGTCTTCTGAGTAGCCAGGACTACAATTGAGTGCCACCACACTCAGCTAACTTTAAAATTTTTTTGGTAGAGGTGGGGGTCTTGCTATGTTGACAAGCTGGTCTCAAACTTGTGGCCTCAAGTGATCCTCTCGCCTTGGTCTCCCAAAGTGATGAAATTACAGGTGTGAGCCACACTGCCATCTGTTCTTTTTACAAGGAAAAATTAACCCGTGGTGTAAGATAATACCACTACCTTGTATTTGTAACAATCTTTCATATATGTAGATTAGAAAATTTTCCTATTGTTCCATTTTGCCTTCACGGTAGAGAGGAATAGAAATTCCACTTTATTTTTAGGCAAAATGAAGTTAGACAACAACGGTATCCAGACGAGAAATGGTCAATCTGTCCCTTAATCCACTTATCTCTCCTTTTTATAAAAGAGATCTTTCTTTATGTTAGTTCTTCTAAAGGTACCTGTACTAATGACTTATTTCTCCAAAGAAAGAAGTAATTCAAATACTTATTTTTACGTATCTATTGCTCTCTCAGGCTTACCATGTTGAATCCATCTCCTTGGCTAATGTAGTTTTAACCATTAGAATGACTCTGTATGATAAATTAGATGTGGACAACTAAATAGTACACTTAACTAAGTATCTGCCTACTTCTACTGATTAAACCAGGCTCTTGATTGCTTTCTTAAAAGTAAACCATCCTAACTCCTTATTAACCATAAACCAGAAATGGACACATTTCCCCACCAATCACATTCAGATACACATCTTCACCCTCAATCAATAAGTTTAAATGTCAGGCACAGTGGCACAGGCCTGTAATCCTAGCTACTAGAGAGGCTGAGGCAACAGGATCACTTAAGCCCAGGAGTCTGTGTCCAGCCTGGGCAACACAGTGAGATTCTGTTTGAAAACAAACAAACAAAAGTTAATTAAAAAAAGTTTAGGCAGGGCATGGTGGCTCACGTCCATAATCCTAGCACTTTGGGAGGCCGAGGTGGGTGGATCACTTGAGGTCAGGAGTTGGAGACCAGCCTGGCCAATATGGTGAAACCCTGTCTCTACTAGAAATACAAAAATTAGCCGGGTGTGGTGGCAGGCACCTGTAAATCCAGCTACTCGGGAGACTGAGGCAGGAGAATCTTTGAACTCGGGAGGCAGAGGTTGCAGTGAGCTGAGAGCACGCTACTGCACTCCACCCTGAGCGACAGAGTGAGACTCTGTCTCAAAAAAAAAAAAAAAAAAAAGTTTAGAGACTGACCCTCTTCTTTATTGGGAGTCAAAAAGTACGTGGTTCTCTTTCCAAAAGAACTATTTCTAAAATTTTTAAAAATATACACAATGCTTAATAAACCACTACCTTGCCAAAATATATCTACTAATTCTTGAGCCCACCACTAAGCTAAATTACTACAAGCTGCTTCATTTAACATTATCTTTAAAGACAATCAGAAGCGGGCCGGGCATGGTGGCTCACACCTGTAATCCCAGCACTTTGGGAGGCCGAGGTGGATGGATCACCTGAGCTCAGGAGTTCGAGACTAGCCTGGCCAGTGAAACCCTGTATCTACTAAAAATACAAAAATGAGCCGGACATGGTGGCATGCACCTGTAATCACAGCTACTTGGGAGGCTGAGGCAGAAGAATCACTTGCACCTAGGAGGTGGAAGTTGCAGTGAGTCGAGATCACACCACTGTACTCACCTGGGCAATAGAGTGAGACTCTTGTCTCAAAAAAAAAAAGACAATCAGAAACTTTAGCACAAGGTATCTCTATGAGTATAAGGCAAAATGAGATTTAAGATGCTTACAAAACCTGCTCTTATTTCATTTTCAGGTTCCTTAATTACTTGTTTTCAAAAATCAAATCTAAAAAAGTATTTTTTGCTGCATATACTAAGAGGCCTCAATCTGAAAAACTTGTGAAGTGAAAATGTAGATTTTTTTAAATATCTGTATGACAGTAACTAAAATACTTCAGAAAAGGCATGAGACTGATAATCTGTTATATGTTCTGTAATTCTCTACAATGTAGTAGGTAACATGCAAAGTGAATAGCAGAGCTGTTACCTTCCTGGCTTTTATGGTAGGGTGCTATATATCATCCAAACTTATACATTTCTGAGAAGAAAAGGTACACAATCATTAATTATGTCTGGATAACAAGTATAAACTGAGAGTATGCCTAAACAACCTAGAATATAGATATCCTATTTAACAGTAACTTTGCCATCAAAGAATCTGGTTAACTTTAAAATATGTCAATAGACAATGCATACTCAGACAGAGTTTCAATTCTTCCTAAAGAAAGCAAGCAAAGTGAAAACTCAGGTTTTAATCCCTGTGCTAACCATTTCATGTTTCCAATTTTTAATAAAGTATCCTATTATAACCAGGAACATTCAAAAGAGTAATTCTTACCTAGGCAATTTCAAAGTGCCTTACTTAAACATTTTCTAAGTAATTTGAGAAACAGGGCTAAAAGTATTTGGACATACTTGTTGGGGTATTTGCGGAAGATGTCCCTGATGACAACAATTGCTTCTTGGACCACATAATTCACTTTGGTCTGGATTAGATCAAGCAATGTGCTTACACAGCGCTCTGCAGATTGCTGGGAAGAATACAAAAAATGAGAAGTCAGATGATCTATGCGATAACACCACCTCAACATAAAAATTTTGAAACATGCAGGTGCATCAACTAAACTAAACTAAAAGATCAGGCACTTAATTGGACCAAGCTACACTAGAGGCTAGATACCAAGCTATATGATGCAGTTTCATTCATTATTTGAACGGATAGATGAATCAGTTCAAATGAATCCTTTGAATACAAACAAAAGGATGTTCCTCATGATGTATAAACATTTGAAAAACATTTATGTCAGGGATATTAATTTTCAAAGGAAATTATCATCTCAACCATACTGCCAAGGCCTGGTGGCATGGCGCATGCCTGTAATCCCAGCATTTTGGAAGGTCGAGGCGGGTGGATCACCTGCGGTCAGGAGTTTGCGACCAGCCTGACTAACATGGTGAAACCCTGTCTCTACTAAATACAAAAAAATTAGCCAGGCATGATGGCGCATGTCTGTAGTCCAAGCTACTTGGGAGGCTGAGACAGGAGAATTGCTTGCACCTGGGAGGCGGAGGTTGCAGTGAGCCAAGATCGAGCCATTATACTCCAGCCTGGGCAACAAGAGCGAAATTCCGTCTCCAAACAAACAAACAAAGGCCAGGTGCTGTGGCTCATGCCTGTAATCCCATCACTAGCACTTTGGGAGGCTCAGGTAGCTGGATCACGAGGTCAGGAGTTCAAGACCAGCCTGGCCAAGATGGTGAAACCCTGTCTCTACTAAAAATACACAAATTAGCCAGGTGTGGTGGCAGGCGCTTGTAATCCCAGCTACTTGGGAGGCTGAAGTAGAAAACTGCTTGAATCCAGGAGGCAGGGGTTGCAGTCAGCCGAGATCGCACCACTGCACTCCAGCCTGGTTGACAGAGCGAGACTCTGTCTCAAAAACAATAACAACAACAAAAAAAACTACCATTATAGCCAGGTGCAGTGGCTCATGCCTGTAATCCCAGCACTTTGCAGGGCGAGAGGTGGGTGCATTACCTGAAGTCAGGAGTTCCAGACCAGCTTGGCCAACATGGTGAAACCCCATCTCTACTAAAATTACAAAAATTAGCCAGGCGTGGTCACACATTCCTGTAATCCCAGCTACTTGGGATGCTGAGGCAGAAGAACTGCTCGAGCCCGGGAGACAGAGGTTGCAGTGAGCTGAGATCGTGCCACTGCACTACAGCCTGGCTGACAGAGCGAGACTACGCCCCCAACCCCACCAAAAAAAACTACCATGACAGTAGTATGGCAGAGGAGTAGGAGTGACATCCAATCACTGTATATACAAAAAGTCCAGAAACAGAGAAACACACACACCCATCTTGGACAGCCAGGAGATAGAAATAAGAAGAATAAGCCATCATAGGAGGAAAGAATAAGAATTAAAGAATAAGCCAAAGTAGGAGGTCTTTAACTGAAGTTCATGGATGAGTGGAGATAGTAGAGGGTGTCTTTAAACCTATTGAAATGAAATCGCCCAATTTTGTAGGAGCTGTCAAGCATATTTTCCAGTGAGTGGGTCTACAACTTCCATTACATTTTCAAAGTTACGCGTGATCCAAAAAACTCCAAAGTACTGTAGTACTCGACAATTTACCAATTTTGAGGCTATGAAACTTAAAAGTCTATGGCATTAGAGAAACAACAATTTTCCATAGCCTACAATTAATCTATAAAATGGAGTTTTATCTGTTAATCTTTTATTAATGAAGATAATATGAGAGAACACAAGTGAAAAAACAAATGTACAGAAACTATAAGTGATCATTTTTTAAAGAGAGAGATACCAGAACAGAGATCCTAAAAGTCAAGGACCAGCCTGTCATATATTACAATGTACTATAATGGGTCACCCCATTATATGCCTCCTGATAAGATATAACAGGAAGTACAGCGAATCACCTAATAGGTATTCTTGCTAAAAATTCTGAACAAGAAAATTACCAAGCCTCCAGATTTAATTATCTAAAGAGGATGGAGGAATAGATAGAATAGCATCACTAAGATACAACCAGCCAAATCCAGACTCTGGGAAATTCTATAAGCCTAATGACCCAGTTCCTTCAATATCTGGCACCAAAATAAGTAAGTAAAAAGGCTTAAGAGACATATTATTCAAATGCAATGTGCAGACCTGAGATACGGTCTCACTCTGTTGCCCAGGCTGGAATGCAGTGGCATGATCTTGGCTCACTGCAACCTCTGTCTCCCAGGTTCAAGTGTTTCTCCTGCCTCAGCCTCCCGAGTAGCTGGGATTACAGGCGTGCACCACCACGCCCGGCTAATTTTTGTATTTTTAGTAGAGACAGCGTTTCACTGTGTTGGCCAGGCTGGTCTCGAACTCCTGGCCTCAAGTGATCCATCCGCCCACCTCGGCCTCCCAAAGTGCTAGTGTTACAGGTGTGAGCCACTGCGCCTAGCCTAGACCGTATTTAGATTTTCATTTGCACAAACAAATTGTAAAAAAGACGTTTTTACATAATTAGGGACAATTGAACACGGACTGAGTATTCAATAAAATTAATAATTATTGTTAGTTGCTGGGCATGGTAATGTGATAATATATTTTTTAAAGTATCTTGTCTCTTAGATATACACACTGGACTACTTGAGTAAGATGATATATGGGACTTGTATTAGCATCCCACCCACCTGAAGGAAGAGGAAGAGGGAGAAGATAAAACAGAAACAGTAACATCAGTATTTGTTCAAGATGGGTGATGACTACACAAGATCTCATTATTCAGTTTTACTTTATTGTATACCTGAAAATTTCTGTAATAAAATCTTTAGAAGTACTATAACAATCGAAACCACTACAAGCAATTTAATAAAAATAAAATTACACCTTGAGATCATTTATATGAAGTTATATATAGGATGGTTCTGTTGTACCATGAAATGATTCTGCAGCCTTTTTTTTTTTTTTTTTTTTTTTTTTTTTGAGACAGTCTCGCTCTGTCACCAGGCTGAGTGCAGTGGCGCAATCTCAGCTCACTGCAACCTCCGACTTCCTGGTTCAAGCGATTCTGTCTCAGCCTCCTGAGTAGCTGGGATTACAAGTATGGGCCACCAAGCCAAGCTAATTTTTGTATTTTTAGTACAGACAGGGTTTCATCACGTTGACCAGATAGTCTCAATCTCCTGACCTCGTGATCCGCCCACCTCGGCCTCCCAAAGTGCTGGGATTACAGGTGTTAGCCACCGCGTCCGGCCGATTCTGCAGTCTTTTATGTAGTTTCGTCCTTCTTCTGATTCTATTTATGTTTTCTATTTTATTCATTTTCAGCTACTAACTCCTTTGCTGTTATTGCAACAGCAAAACAGTTGGAAAAATTTAAATATGCTATATTTATTAATATTATAATTGTTATATTAATAAATTATGTAGTATGTAGAATATGGGCCACTGTAAGCATTGAATTACCATAAATTAGTAATACAAGTAAGTGCTTAGCACAGTGTTTGATATAAAGTTCATATTTAGTAAATCCTTAGTATTATCATTAAAATGAATACAAATAAAAGGATGTTCTTCATGATGTATAACATTTGAAAAACATTTATGTCAGGGATATTAATTTTCAAAAAAAATTATCATCTCAATCATACTGCTTTTGATTTAAAAAAAACTACCGTTAAAGCAGTATGGCAGAGGAACACAAGTAAACATCCAATCATTGTATATACAAAAAGTCCAGAAACAGAAATACACATCCAAAATTCAATATATGATAAAGACAACATTTCGTAACAGTAAGGAAAGAACAATGTGTTCTGGTGTTTGATCCACTCTACTCATATCTTTCACTAAAATTATTTCCCAGTTGATTAAAATTACCCTTAAACATATAAAACAAGGGCTGGGCCCAGTGGCTCACACCTATAATCCTAGCATTTTGGAAGGCCAAGGCGGGTGGATCATGTGAGGTCAGGAGTTTGAGACCAGCATAGCCAACATGGTGAAACCCTGTTTCTACTAAAAATACAAAAATTAGCCAGGCATGGTGGCGCATGCCTGTAATCCCAGCTACTTGGGAGGCTGAGGCAGGAGAATCGTTTGAATCCGGGAGGCGGAGGTTGTAGTGAGCTCAGATTGCGCCACTGCACTCCAGCTTGGGCAACAAGTCAAGACTCCATTTCCCCATCTACCCCCCAAAAAACATATAAGACAAAATCACTGCCATAGAAGTAAAAAAAAAAAAAAAGGTGAATTTTATATAACTTTAGGTGAAGCACAATTTTCTAAGTGTGCCACTGAGGAAAAAAACTGACTGAGAAAAGCTGATACAAAAATCTAAACTTCTGTGAATCAAGAGAGCAAAAGAAATCTAAAGGACAACAAACTGAGAAAACAAATGCTAACTAAAAGAAGGGTTAACATCCCAATTACAAAAGACTTTAAAACAACAATGTGGAAAAGATAACATATCGGAAAAAGGTGCACAGGACATGAGTGAGCAAGTCCCAAATGGCTAATAAGCATAACTGTTATGAAAAAACATTCACTTCAACTAGAGTTCAAAGATTTAGCTGCAAGGATACTCCTTATACCAACATTTGGAAAAAGAGTAGAAACAACTTTAAGGTCCTATAATAACGGATAAAGTTACAAATTCAGTAAGTTATCAAGTAATCACACATTATGTCTATAGAAACTAAAGATGACATAAATTTTTCTTTATAACTTGGATCAATGTCCATGATAGAGCATGCCAAAAAAAAAAAAAAAGTAGAGTATAAAACAAAGTAAATAAATAGCATTTGTGGAATGATTTCATTTTTATTAAAAAATACATCTTTGTATAGAATACTATATAAACAAGGATATAAAATGACGTCTACCAGATCACGTCCACTGCATATCTGAGAAGGTGAAACAGAAGACATGGGAGGTGGGGTACTCTATTTTTTGTTTAACTTGTTCTATAATTTTATATAGTAAACAAATATGGTTTTCCTAATAGGAAAAATATATTTTTTGTCTTTAAGAATGACACACAAACCAGTATTTTATTCTAATATATAAAAATTAGAAATAGTAACCACAAAAAAAACAGAAGACTAGGAAGTGAACTCCTGCTCTTAACCTAATGCCTTTACCTCTACCCTTTTTAAAACTGAAAAGGACCAGGAGTATGTTTACCCCTGAAAGAAATAGGCAAAAGTTACTGAACAAAAAATAGTACTATAGAATTGCTTTTTCAGTGCTATTTATTTGCTCAACAGCTTGTTGCTTCCCAAAGCTATACAGAAAGTTCATTACAATTCTTATGCTGCTGATTCTTGTCCCATGGATGAGTCAGTGCAAACAGGCAATCATGGCCTCTCCTGGCCCAATTAACTGTTTGGCTTGGCAACTCTGTCAAACTGAAACCAAACTGAAAACCTTCATGGCTGAAACAGTTATAGGAAAAGTTCTAAGGTAAATCCGGGTAATCTGAGATGAGAGCACTAGATAAGACAGGATTCCTGAAGGGTGACCTTAAGTGTCCTGAGAAAGCTCATTCCTCACATCCTGTCATACTCCCACCAAAGCACGCTTAGTCAAAGGAAGAAGTGAAAGTCATCAGAAGTCTTTTCCAGAAGACTATGGAGAACCTTTCCATTAGTCACAATACATGACTAACAGTCTTGAGGAATCTAGATGCTTTGAGAACACTTTCTAGTAATTCCAGGGCTAGAAAGTCTCTTAACTTCAGAATAAGATATAATTTTTGTATTACTGTTTATAGCTTTGTCAGAGAGGTCATAAGACAATGGCAGTCTCACAGAAGAGATGGCTATGTACACTAGTGAAGAGAACAAAACCACCTTACTCTTAGGCTACCAAAATCTCTCTGAAAATTATCTATATTAATACTAAGTACACGGCTAGTAAGATATGTTAATGTAAAAAGAAAAGAAAAACAAGTTGTGATGTGTGGTGATAGTGGTAATAAAAAAGATGTAACGTATCAAGATCCAATAAAAAGACCTTCCCATTTCTCCAATGAAGAGAAACAAACATATTAAACATCTGAATCAAGTGAGCTAGCAGAACCAGGAATAGAACCCAGGATCAGCTAACTTCTTGCTGTAATAGCCAGTCTACTAAATGATTTATCAACAGAAACTACATAAAGCAGCACTAAATTGAAAAAAAACGAAGAAGGCCAATTAGTAGCAGGTATTTCATAGAAGATCCTCTGACACACATCTGCCTCCTTTTGTTGCTATAAAGTACTGGTTAGGCTGGGCATGGTGGCTCAGGCCTGTAATCCCAGCACTTTGGGAGGCCGAGACGGGCGGATCACGAGGTCAGGAGATCAAGACCATCCTGGCTAATATAGTGAAACCCTGTCTCTACTAAAAATACAAAAAATTAGCCAGGCGTAGTGGTGGGCGCCTGTAGTTCCAGCTACTCGGGAGGCTGAGGCAGGAGAATGGCGTGAACCCGGGAGGCGGAGCTTGCAGTGAGCCGAGATCGCACCACTGCACTCCAGCCTGGGCGACACAGCGAGACTCCGTCTCAAAAAAAAAAAAAAAAAAAAAAAAATTATTCCCTCTGAGAAGAGAGTCTAGGTAGGGAAGGGAGGGACCAGAGACAGCTGCTTTCCATCAAAAATTATTTAACATTTAAATGGTGTGCTTTATTAGTTTGATAAATTTAAAAATTATTTTAAAGAAAAAAGTGAAGAGAACTCTCAGAATCCCCAATACATGATCCTAACTACCATCAGACACTTGCCTCCACCTTGATGGCACACCGTCCAATGGCCCGCACAGCTTTTCGAACAAAGTCAACATCTACCTCTGTGGCATATTCCTTCAGTTCTGCCAGAACCTGTTAAATGGAGGAAGTGGTTAATCATTAAGGATTCTCAAATAGCAATCTCACAGCCTAGCTTCTTTAAAGGCCAGACCTTAAGAGCTAAATCATTATCAACTTGAGTCTGCATAAAGTCTGACCTGAGCAATGTTGGCTTGAGATGCCAAACGAATCATGATGTCCAACTTCTCTAGTTTAACATAGATGGGATCATTGTACTTCACAAAGAAGACTTTGATTTCCTGCTTCAAGATTTCAGGCCTAGGGTACACAGAAACAGAAGAAAGGAAGGTGAAGGCATATACTGATACACCCTTCTGAGACTGTATTAATACCTAATCTGTGCCTCTCTGCTCTCCTCTCGCTCCACTCAGGAAAAAAAAAAAAATGCATAAACTTCCTCTATATGCCTCTATTCTTATCAGTTCCACTTGGCAGATTATTTTTATCCTTTTTAAGCATCAGGGCACACGTTTCCATGAAGTACTGCTAAAGGAACAACAATCTGGCTCTAAACTACAACGTGAACCATATCAACCAGGCACTAGACAGTGTATCAGAAAGAGACCCTTCAGAAAACAAACTGGACTGTGCAGCAACACATGGCATTTATTATAGAAATACTGTGATATCAACTGTTAGCCTCCTGGTGCTAGGCAAGCAAGTTGTTCTGCCATATAACATTTTCATTTCCATATATTAAAAAGAGATTAACACTAGCCTAATTAACATTAACATTATTAAGCTTAATGCAAAATCACAAAGACTTTAATCAACACTTCACTATTTTCCAACCTTTTCTGGACAATTAAGTTGATGTTCCTCAGGGCGACATACTGCACTTCTGGCTCCCCAGACAGCAAAGTGACAAGTGGAGGGGCTAATTTCTTCAGCAGCATATTGTAGTAGTCAGAATCCTTAGGTAACAATTCTAGAAACTTCATTAGGACTTTTACTGCTGAAAGCACCACTGCTGAGTTGGCATGGGATAGCCGGGGAGTTACCCGCTCACATATGCTGAGGGCAAAGAATGAAAATTAGTATCATGAATTATAATTTCTTTGCTGAATTCATTCTATAAGGTAATATGTCAGAGTCTAATGGCCCAAGTATCAAAAAATTCAAGAATTAGTTAGAAAAGTCAAAGCTCTATGCTTAGGTAAAACTGGGATCCGACAATGCAGAAGCCTCATTCTCAGCAAACTACAGGCAGAGCAGGGACATCAGAAGACTTCAGAAAACCAGCAATAAGGGATGTTCAAACTGGAAAGAAACTAGCATTACCCAAGACGCTTGAGCTCACACCATTTACCTTCTTGTTTTATAGTCCTCTTTGTCTCCCCATATTATGTTAGGGCTCCCTGCCTCTCAGCCCATTTCTACTCAACCTATAGGAAGTCAAATTAAGCATTCTGAGAGTTATTTCATAGGAAGTGCCAGCAACCCAGTTATGGCTGAAGATTTCATTGTAAGATACAGAAGGAGGCAGGTTGGTAGGGAAAACAATCCAATCTCCTGTCTTGAGGATAATGAGAATAAGGGACTCTCTGAAAAGGGTTTGTTTTTTAAATAGCAGGACACCACTACTATATTTTCCCATCTCCCTGCTCTCCCAGCCCCTGCCACCTACACTTACATGCCTCATAAAATGGTAGATATTTAATTATCTGTTGAGGGTTCTTTAGAAATTAATCCAATTTTGATAGCTTGGGCAACACGAGTAGCTAACTTACTGTATTAAAGAAACAAGATAAATAGGCGGTGTTTCCCTCTTCCTCCTATTCCTGACTTCCTTTGGGTCTTTATACAAATGCCACCTTCTCAGTGAGGCCTTCCCTGGCCATCTTTTAAAAATAAAATACAACCCCCCACCCCCAAATGTCCAGCATTTCTTAGATTTCTTAGATAACGGCACTCTCTACTTTACTTTCTTGTTAGTACTTATCACCATCTCACATATTACATATTAAACTATCTATACATATGATATATTATACTATCTATACATGTTATATATTCCTACCCCCAACCTTCAAATAAGTGATCCCAGAGGGCCATGACTTTGTTCACTGTTGTATCCTCAGGGCCTAGGAACACTGCCTAGCACATAGTATGCGCTTAATAAATATTTGCTGAGTGAATGAATGAATGTGATGTCAATGGCCAACAATGATGGAAAGAAACTATCAGAGTGAGCTTTAGTTCAGTCTAGAGGGACTATTTCCCAGATAAGTGAAGATCACTTACATTCTAGTAGCTTGGAAATCAGCTTCAGCCAGACCAGTTCTTATCTACCATAATTAAAATATACCAACTTTAATGAAGAGTCAACATTTCTTCAGAAGTACTTTGCCTAGTACAGTGCCTGCATATACAAAATGCTCAATAAAAATTAGAGATAATTCCAACTTTGTAAACTAAAATGTATGTATGTGTAGATGAAATTTAGTAGTCAATTTCTAATAACTAAAGAAAATTTGCAACATTACATGGTAACAGGCTGAGCAGAACAATCTAGATGTGCCTTCTAAAATCTTCAAATTCAGACTGACATGGTTTCCATATCTAATGGAAAGCAGGATATATTTTGCTGACTTTAACATACTCTCTCTCATACTGAATTATACATACAGGTCAGCTCGATAACTAATATGAAGCTACTTTCTATGTATCTAATAGAATGAAAAATCTGTCACTCCAAAGAGAGATACTCAATAATCTTTGCTGGCCAAATGGCCAAGAGCTGTTGCATGGGAGATGTAAGACAATAAGAAAGATTTTAGCAGAAGTAACTGTATGAAAAACATACATTTCTTAGAAACAGTTTTGCATAGTTTATTCCACCACCTAAAATATTCCTAAATCCAATGAGAAAATACCTTGGAGATAGCAACATCTACCCTAGAAGCCACTGACCTTCCTCAACTGATTTATTCTAATACCAGACTCTAGAACTTACAGAATCAGGCAAGACTATCAGAAAGTAGCCAGGAAAACAGACTGACCTCTGAGCCTCCCGATCATCTTTAGGGTTGTAATTAGACAGGCAGTCCAGGATGAAAATCTGGCCCCATTCAGTGCACTCATTTAGGGCTGTCAGCAGCTTATTAATGTTCTGCGGGTTCAGATCAAGTAAGTTGCTGTTTGGGTGAGACTCACTGATTTCAGATAATGCTGCTACGGCATTAGCCACCACCTGGAAAAGAAGGGGATATGACCTTGATTCACCAAGAACAGTACAGCTACAGACAAACACTTAATCAGCCTTCTCTGGATCACTTCACGGATCTCAATTCATAACCATTCCTGAACATTTTACCTAGTCAGATAGAAACAAATAAACCACTTCAAAACATATATTAAATCACCAATGATATTATATATAGTGGTAAGGCAACCCTGAATTAAAACAATTCATATATTAGCAGAGTCACACATTATTTAATAGTAAAACATACATTAACCATGTTAACGGCACTCAAAACTTTCAAAATCAAGACATGTGAACAGCATATGAAAAAGGGCGAAGTCTAAATATGAAATACGTACATTAGGCAACAGAGAGAAAAATTTAGGCCAAATAATTGTATAGTTGTGTAGCTGTATGGGTTTGGGGGAGGTGACACCATCAATCATGCCACAAGTCTTAGAGTAAGAATATGTGGGCCTGAGACCCTAGTTCACTAGTATACAATGCTGAGAGAATATGTAATCTCTGTGAAACTCAGTTTTTCCATCTGAAAATGAGATAATTTAGTCCACCTCACAGATTAGTTTCAGTTTGAGGATAAAACCAGATGACATATGTATAAGTGCTTTCTACAAAGTCTTATGTAAATTTAAGGTGGTTGGTTATATTACCATAATTCATCAAGTGTAAGCTATAGTTTTTCACATTAACATCTTTGAAACTGGGTTGCATTTTATAATCAATGGCCTGTCAGTTCAATAGGAAGCATTTTTCTTTCTTAGTAATACAGAAAATAATAATACATCTTATAATCAGTGGCATTAAAGATTCAATGAAATACAGTATTTCAAATGTATCCTTCTTTCTGGGTAGGGTAAATGAAAAATTGCTACCCTGTTTTTTTTTTTTTTTGAGACAGTTTTGCTCTGTTGCTCAGGTTGAAGTGTGATGGTGTATCTCGGCTCACCGTAACCTCCGTCTACTGGGTTTAAGGGATTTTCCCACCTCAGCCTCCCAAGTAGCTGGGACGACAGGTGCAGGCCACCATGCCCAGCTAATTATTGTATTTTTAGTAGAAATGGGGTTTTGCCATGTTGGCCAGGCTGGTCTTGAACCCCTGACCCTAGGTGATCTGCCCGCCTCAGACTCCCAAAGTGATGGGATTACAGGCGTGAGCCACCGTGCCCGGCTGAAAAATTGCTACCTTACACTAGAAAGTACACTTGTATCCTGACTCACAGATCTGGGAATCCATTTAGCTGCAGGAAGAAAAGTCAACACTTTATCAAAATTACAAATTAATTCTAAGAAATCTACAACGGAAGAACATCTAAAATCATTTAAAAGTTGCAAACATACTAAAAAAAAAACCATGCATACATACAAAATACTATATATTGTGGCCCTATACAAGTAAACTTAAGACCATATTTTGCAGTGAGGCTCCCAGTTGCTGACTAAAGATTAGCAAAGTGAGGCTGAATATAAATACTCTCCAAGTATAAGTTGGCTGGGCGTGGTGGCTCACGCCTGTAATCCCAACACTTTGGAAGGCTGAGGTGGGTGGATCACTTAGGTTAGGAGTTCGAGACCGGCCTGGCCAACATGGTGAAACCTTGTCTCTACTAAAAATACAAAAAATTAGCCGGGCATGGTGGTGTGTGCCTGTAATTCCAGCTACTCAGGAGGCTCAGGCAGGAGAATTGTTTGAACCTGGGAGGTGAAGGTTGCAGTGAGTGAAGATCATGCCACTGCACTCCAGCTAGGGCGACAGAGCGAGACTCCATCTCAAAAATAAAATAAATAAATAAATATTCTCCAAGTATGAATGAGACATGATAGGAGACAGCTTCAGCAATTATATATATTGGAAAGATTCTCAAAAATGTAAAACCAGTTAGTTCTTCCTGAAGTCCCTTAATAAAACCTCGAGAAATGAAGAATTGTATGATTATCATTTTGTTAGCAAGGGAAGAAACATAATGACTACAATCTAGCGATTGATTTTAGTATTCACATTATCTGTGTAATCTTCAGATTATCCCAGCATATGATTTTATCTGGAAGATAAATGTCTAGAGAATGTGATTTATTTAACAAATATACTTACAATAATATCCATTATTATGTAAAGGATAACGATGCCACAAGTGCAATAATCTCAAGCTATACTTTGGTGATCAGAACAAAGATGCTAAGATGAAAAATCAAAGACTCACTTGGTAAATATGGTTACAGATACACTATTTTATTCTTGTTAAAACAAATCAGGAAAACTCATCTAGCCCGCCTACTGGATGGTAACATGTGTGAGGCTCCTTCCTGACTTAATTTTTGTTTGCTAACTCTATTATCAAGCATGAGAAAAGCCATAAAGAGAGAAATAATAATCCCTTCTATGTGCTTCACGTGCAGGGAAGATATTTTATTTCCCTTGCACAATGTACTTAGTTGACCTTATTATAGTCTAAAGGATCAAAGTATCATATCAGAAGGCCAGATGCCTGTTTCGATCTATAGATGCCAACACACGTCCAGTCTTGGTTACCAGTTGTCTGAAATAAATGACCACTTATGTCAGTGAAACTCTTCTCATTTAAAAAAAAAACAAAAAGATTAAATATAAGGTCTAGTAATAGGAAACACAGACAAAGAAAACGAGAGAATGGGGAGAATTAAAAACTGCAATGGGGAGAAAAAGAACAGAAGGATACTAAACAGAATGAGCAATTGGAAATCCTCTGTTATTATAGGCAACTAGAAATTAAACCAAGTGCATAATGCACCTAATGAAGTGTATGGTCTGATGTTTAAATAGGCAATTGCCACTTATCATCACATTAAAACAAGAAACAAAATGGTGAAAAGTCTGTCTAAATTAAGGATCCAGAAAGATCAGATTAGAGGATTGTTTAGCAAAGCCTGTAAAGAAAAAGAGATCACTGCCAAATAGTGACCGTCCAGAGGAGATGCTATCCTATCCCTCTATACTGAAACTCTAATGTTTCTCTAAAATTTCTTTAAGTTCCTTCCATCCTATCTCTACACTTTCATTTCCTAATCTCCACAGTCAGACTGCTACATTTTCAGCAACATACTGAGGCAGGCTCACCAGGCAGCGCTCTCAGTTTTCCTGGTCCGTAAGCCAAGTTTCTCTCACTCTTCAATGAAAACTTAAAATAAACCAGTCACACTGAATCTAAAGTAGCTAAAGAAAAAGACTGACTTTGAGACAGCAACTGGGTGGCTAGAGTGTACAGGACAACTCACTTGTCAATGTTTATACTGTTTCTTTGGAATTCTGTACTATATTGTTTAGTTTTTTAAATAAACTTTAAAAATAATAGACTGAAACTTAAGATTTACTTCCTCTTCCTCCAGTCTTCTCTAGACAATAATATCACAAAGTACAAATGTAACCCTTACAATAACTGCCTTGACTCGCCTGTATACTAAGATACAGGTGTGCTTCTTTCATTTGAACTATTACTTTGATTTAGAACTGTTAACACAACTATGGGTAACACTTCTCCTGACAGAAAATTGGCATTTCTCTTAGGAAATACTGACACAAAGAGAACGATGGTCTTTTAACTACCATTTCAGAAAAATTAGAGTTTCCAAGAAAAAAAATTGTATTTTTTTAAAGAGACAGGGTCTCATTCTGTTGCCCAGGCTGGAATGCAGTGGCACTGATCACAGCTCACTGTAATCTCAAACTCCTGGACTCAAGTGATCCTTCCACCTCAGACTCCTGAGTAGCTAGGACTACAGGCTTGCACCACCACACCCAGTCAAGTTTCTTAATTACTTTTTTAGAGATGGGGTCTGGCTATATTGCCCAGGCTGGTCTTGAACTCCTGGTCTCAAGTAATCCTCCCAGTTTGGCCTCCTAAAATGCTGGGATTACAGATGTGAGCCACCATACCCAGCCAAAAAAGGGAGTTTCTAGAAAAAGTTTTGCTTTAAAAATTAATTTTTAAATAGAATTTCCTTGGGGTTTGTTTGGTTAGTTGGTTTTAAGAGACAGGGTCTTGCCTGTCACCCAGGCTAGAGTGTGGTGGCATAATCATATAGTTCACTGTAATCTTGAACTAGCAGATGGGACTACAGTGCATGCCACCATGCCTGCCTAATTTTTTTTTTTTTTTTTGGTAGAGACAGGGGTCTCCCTATGTTGTCCAGGCTGGTCTCAAATTCCTGGCCTCATGCAGTCCTCCCACCTTGGCCTCCCAAAGTGCTGAGATTACAGGTGTGAGCCACCATACGGTACCTGGCCTACAAATAGGGTTTCTTAAGAGAGGTTCCTCAGCACAAGTTGATTTATAAAAAGTTGGCATCTAGATTACAAAGGGACACATCTGCAGCATTAAAAAAAATAAATCCTTGGCCAGGCATGGTGGTTCACACCTGTAATCCCAGCACTTTGGGAGGCTAAAACAGGTGGATCACTTGAGGCCAGAAGCTGGTATCAGCCTGGCCAACATGGGGAAACCCTGTCTCTAATTAAAATACCAAAAATTAGCCAGGCATGGTGGTGCATACCTGTAATCCCAGCTACTCGGAAGGCTGAGGCATGAGAATCACTTGAACATGGGAGGCAGAGGATGCAGTCAGCCAAGATCACACCATTGCACTCCAGCCTGGATGACAGAATGAGACTATGTCTCCAAAAAAAATAAAAATAACAATAAAAATAAAAAACTAAAAAAAATCCTTTATTCATCTTGCCTCCCAATTATGGTAAATTCTATTCTTGGAGAGACTGCAACTAAACATTCCCCACCCCTCATATCTCCTCAAAGAGCTAACCCAATTATGTATACTTTACAGACACAGATATTAAACACAAACATATATATAAAAGCAACATATGTAGATGTGTAAAAACATACTCAATCCTAGACAAATCTTTCTCTGCCTTAATTACAGACCTCTCTTCAATATGATTATTTCCTTATGGACCTGTGGAGTCTGCTGATTTTTTTTTTTTTTAATAGAAACAG